GAAATAACAAAGATTGGAATAGAAATAAATGAAATAGAAACTGAGACCAATGAAAAGATCAATGCAACTAAGAGCTTGTTTGTTGAGAAGATAAACAGAATTTACAATCCTTCAAGCAGACTTGCCAAGAAAAGGAGAGGACTCAATCAAAAATGAGAACCTATTATAACTGATACCACTGAAGAAGTACATAGGATCATGAGACTACTATGAAAAATTACATGCCAACAAATTGGACAATCTAGAAGAAAATGGGTAAATTCCTGGAAACACAGAACCTACCAAGACTGAATCATGAAGAAATAGGAAATCTGAACAGAATGATTACTAGTAAGGATATTGAATCAGTAATCAAAAATCACCCAACAAAACCCCAGGACAAGATGGCTTCACTGGTGAATTCTACCAAACTCTTCCAAAAAACAGAAAAGGAGAGAGCACTTCCAAACTTATGAGTGAAGGATTACCCAATACCAGATGAGGCTCATCGTGATCTCAGGTACCCAAGCTGATAATCAGAGGACCTGGTTTCAAAGAGTAACGCAGGAAGGATGTTGGAGTAGACTTTGCAAACATGTAGTCATTGTTTCTGGTAACTGCTTTTTCTTCATTCGTGGACTGATGGTCATTTATAAAACATGCTTCGAGTCAGAGGAAATCACTGCTACCCAACTCTAAGAATTATGGGGCACATAATTAACCAGGATCAAATTGAGGCTCTAGCCATGAAGGAACCAACAGCCATGTCCTCAATATGATCTTATATTAAACCTGGACATCTCTGGGCCGTTGGGCCATTTATAGTCTCTTGAACATTGTTAAATAGAAATAAATTCTGGCTTAAAATAAACAGTCTGATCGCAACTTGGCTATAGCCAGCACCCCTCAGTCTCTACACACCACACCTCTGCTTGCTCTTCTTGTGGGGACATTTCGCCTCCTCTACCTAACTACTCAAATCTCCTCTGAGCTGGGCCACAGTGACGCAGGTGGAAGGACCAGTATCTCTTTATGGCTTTGGACAAGCCAGGGAACCTGTATGGAACTCAGTTTCACCTACTTTAAAATGGGACTAGTCATCCTGCTCTACTGTCCCCACCCAACTGTTGAGAAGCTCCAAGGGGGACAGTCTGAGTCCCTAGTAAGGGGAGAATTGCTGGGAGGCACCTTAAATAATTTGTCCATTTGTGAATATTTATGTTTCATATATTTTTGCTTCCCTACCTAACCAAATCACTTTGAAGTTTTAAATACTCATCAAAAATAATTCCTTGTGGTATTGATTTATACACAATCCTGATCCCCTACAGATCCAAAAGAAAGATAATGAAGTCAACTTTCTTCCAGAAAACAAAGTAACAGGTATGAAGAGCGACTAAATTATAGAGCTATCTATATAGTTGCTTGTGTTAATAATGATCTCAAAAAAGTGGAAGCCCCGTCTTAGTTTGGAAGCTTATACCATGGAGCCAAAGGTGGAGAGTAATCCATGAACTGCAGTGCAGATTCCATTTCCACAGATGCAACCAACACGGATGGAAAACATATGAGGAGAACAAAAGTTACCTAATTGCTGACATCTCCCCACAGTTAGGCCGACAGTGGTGGCATCTGTACAGAACAGGTACAGACTTGTCATTATTCCCTAAACAATACAGTATAACAACTATTTGCGTAGCATTTACATTGTATCAGGTATTAAGTAATCTGGAGATGAAGTATATGGAAGGATATGCAAATACTATGCCATTTTATATAAGGGACTTGAGCATCACAGATTTTAGAATCCTCAGGGGTTCTGGAATTAGTCCCCCACGGATACCAAGGGCTGACTATTTGAATAAAATAACAATGTCTCTTACCCCAAGAAGAGCTGGAGCCCTAGTCCCACCCTTTCTCAATTCCAGTTAAGGGCACCCATCAGCAATTTGGCTTGGCAGCAAGACCATCGCAAAATGTTACACCTTCGAATGAAATAGCCAGGCCACCACGCTCTAGAGATCTACGTAGCGGAGAGGGAAAGCCTTTCTGTTTTCTTTCATTTGTACTGGTACTGGGATTCCTGAATGTTAAGAAAACAATTTAAGTAGTTCATGTCATGCCATGTCATAATGCTTTATAAATCCACTCAAAACTTTCCAAATAAACTAATTGCTGTTAATGATTTGCTTGAATGCTTGTTCAGCAAACTGTTGGCAGGTGTGACCTCCCTCCCCCCCTTCCAGCTCGTTGTGTATCGCAAGTTTATAAGATGAACAAACCGGAGCGAACTCCTGCTTTGAGAGGCCGCAGCAGAAGTGGCTATCGGTTCCTCTCAGGTGCCAGTCCTGGTGCACTAGCCTTGTCTCTGTCCTAATTAAACTCCCAGCCAGGAAATCTGCCTCCTGGCTGACAGCAGTCTCCCTTCAGAGCAGAGGGTGCAGGGGCTGGGTCTTGACCTACCTCCAGGCCTCACAGAGAACTAAAAGGGTAAGAGAACACCCCGTTCAGTCCATGAAATGAACGCCGTGTACTCCACAAAGGTGTATGTTTAGAAAAATCTGTTGCGATACTTTCAGTTATAGAATCATTGCAATTTTGAGCAAGCCTTTAGTTAAGTGCTTAGTTATATTGTATTCAAGGATTTTACATTTATTACTCACTGCAAATTTAGTAATTATAGCAATTAATGAAAGATAAGAACTGTAACACTGAACACTTAGGTATACAGTCAAGCCTTATAAATAATCCAACAATTACTGATGTCTGAATTAGAGATTTTTAAATAACTACAAATTTATTTGTCTGATTAAATTTATTGGGGGCAACATTGGTTAATAACAACAACGATGTATAGTTATTAATATGATTAGATAGAGCATTATATAATGTTCTAGATAATGTTATTTCAGGTAGAAAAGTCTATAATATGACATCTGTATATTGCACTGTGCGCTCACCACCCAGGGTCTAGTCTCTGTCCATGGCCATAAGTCTGACCCCTCTTCATTCTTCCCCCACCTGTTTCCCTCTGGTAACCACCATACTGTTTTCTGTGTCTATGAACTTGTTCTGTTTGCTTATTGCTTTCTGTTTTATATCCCACATATAAGTGAAATCATATGATTCTTGTCCTTTTAAAGTCTTAATTTCAGTCAGCTGACACTCAAGATCCATCCATGTTGTCACAAATGGCAATATTCCATCATTCACAGACCAATGGCATAGAACTGAGAGCCCAGTAATAAACCCACACATATGTGGGATACTAATTTTTGACAAAGGAGCCAAAAACATACAATGGAGAAAGGAAAGCCTCTTCAATAAATGGTGTTGGGAAAATGGAAATATAACTAGACTGCTACGTGATAGCATACACAAATATTAACTCAAAATGGATTAAAGACTGGAATATAAGACCTGAAACAGTAAAATATATAGAAGAAAACATAAGCATTAAATTTATGGACCTTGGTCTCAGAGGGGTTTTTGTGAACTTAACCCCAAACCAAGGGAAGTAAAAGCAGAAATAAATGGCACTACATCAAACTAAAAAGCTCCTGTACAGCAACAAGAAATCAAAACAAAAAAGTCGCCAACCAAATAGGGGGAGAAGATATTTGTGAACAATACCTCCAATAAGGGGCTAATATCCAAAGTACACAAAGAACTCATACAGCTCAACAAAAACAAACAATCCAATTAAAAAACGGGCAGACCTGAACAGACACTTCTCCCAAGAGGACATACAGATGGCCAACAGACACATGAAAGGAGCTCAACCTCTTTTCTGTAGCTATGTAACTGGCCCATAAGGGAAATGCAGACCACAATGCTGCCACCTTCCGCCCGTTAGAATGGCTCTTCTTCAGCACAAGTAAGCGTTGGAGAGATTGTGGAGAAAAGGGAGCCCTCGTACCCATCCGGTGGGAGCGTAAATCGGTGCAGCCGCTATGGGACGCAGTGTGGGTCCCTCAAGAACAGAGCTAGCATGTGGCCCAGGAATCTCTCCCCTAAGCATCTACCTGGGAAACTTGAAAACACTTATTCAAAAAGATCCATGTACCCATGTTCACTGCGGCATTATTCATAGTGGCCAAGACATGGAAACAACCTAAGTGTCCTTCGACAGATGGCTGGATAAAGAGATGTGGTGCATATATACATAAGAAATGATGAAATACAAATTATTTGTAAGTAAGAACTTACAAAATGTTGTCAAAAAGCAGACATCTGACTTGGTTTAGATAACACGTAAAAAAAAAGTTTTGATGCGCATTTTTGCAAATACAGAAGGGATGTCAACACCTAAAGCAGTATTCCAAGTCCAGTTTCTTTGTGGCATTGTTTGCACTAATCATTTACTTACTGCGACTCCTAAAGCAAACTTCCTTCGAATATGTCCACATTTCTAGTCATAGTCAACCTAACCGAAAAAAAGCATTGGTGTGAAACAAAAAGTACCCACTTCACGTCCATATTGTGCCACTTAAAAGTTGAACTCTAAACATGTTAATGAGCTCCTCAGACTCTGTAATGCCAGTAATGCTGAATTACAGATTCCTCAAGCAAAAGAAACAATCTAGGATGTTTCAACTTCTGAACTGGCAGGGTCTAAATTATTTAACAAATAAGGCAAATAAAAAACATTTGTAATTCATCATTTTACAGTAGTACAGAGGAACTTCTACACGTGGCAGGTAGGCTTAAAATTGAATTTTCTTAAAAGCACATGTTAAAGAGACAGTCTTTCCTATCTTTCCACAATGAGAGGTAACTGCCAGAAGCCAGACAAAGATCCTAAAAGAATTCCCAGCCTCTCATTTTGCATCAAGATCCTAAAAGAATTCCCAGCCTCTCATTTTGCATCAATGCTGCTCATTAGTCTTTCTGAGAGACGTATTTGATTAAGGTATCAGCAGCTTCTCACGAAAGAATACATTCATTAAGTCAACAATTTATGCTCATGTTCAACGTACTAGAACCAAAATTGTGCCTAATTTCATGATAATTTTTTCTAGGGCCCACCGATCTCAGCATGAAGAGGCAGTTGGCGACCAGCTCAGGCTCCTCCAGCAGTTCAAGCTCCAGACCCCAGCTGAGTCCAACTGAAATCAATGCAGTGAGACAGCTTGTGGCAGGATATCGAGAATCGGCTGCATTTTTATTGCGTTCTGCAGATGAACTGGAAAATCTTATTTTACAACAGAACTGACTCAAATGACGATCCGATTCACTGAGGTCTAAGTTTGCAGTTTCCACTAATGACATTTTGATTTCCCAGCAGAGATGCTTCTGGTGTCACTGCGCAGTCTTAAGAGAAACACTTCCATTATGCCACACTGTCCTTGATCCATACAGTGATGTGTTAAGGTGCTTCAAAGGAACTGACCTCTGAAGTACTTGAGATACCTTGTGTCCAGCCTACTGCTTTTTGTTTTAGTGTGTCAACATAACTATCTGGGGCAAAAATAAAACTAAAGGCTGTATATTCCTAATTCAAGGATAAAACTGAAGAAGCTTGTGGTATAAAAAATAGTTCAAGATCCAACTGAAATATTAGTGGAATTTGCTACTGACTTATTGGACTGAAAGCTGCAGTATCTGGCAAAAAAAAAAAAAAAAAGCCAAAATTTCTTCTTGCTACAGGTTATAACCATGAAAAGGATCTTGTATTTTAAAAAATATATATGTAATTTTTATAAAAAGAAAACTTGTTTTTCATTCAAAATTGTCATTTTTACTTTGGTAACTTTTTCATAGGTCCTAAAAGAAAACCGTTTTGAGAAACTACTGTAAGTACCTTTTCCACATCCCTCTGCCTTCTCTTTCCAAATTCTTTCTACAAAAAAATAACACATGACGCTGGAGAAAAACCCTCGCCTCCGTTCTTTACATCATTTTTTTAGGAGCTACTTCGGGGAGAAGCCTGCACTTCTGCACTCAGGCAGGTCCCCAGCATCCCACGCAACACTGCAGCTTTACCAGAGAGGTTTCCACCACACAACTTTTTAATATTAAAAAGAGACATATCATTGAGGGGGGAAGATCACACCTTGGTTTCCCACAGCTCACCCCAGATTGCCGCTGCTATCTTACGGCACCCCTCTAAGACAGGGGTGTAGATGGCTGAATGTTCAGAGGTTGCAAGTGACAATCTGAAAATTTGCACTCGTGTGTAGTTTAGTTTTCATTTCTCTATTTCAGACATAGTTTCCAAAAAGACCATTACCTCTCCTGATATGATCTGTGAGATTTACAGTTCTAGGTAAAGATGATGTAACGGACTGTTGGTGGCTGCAGCTGCAACTTACAATGAACTGGCCCCTCCGATTCCCTGTCCTTTGCCCTTCTTTCCGATTTTATAGTGTGGGTACACATAAATGGTGTTTTCTTTGTGCACTGAGGCAAGCCTATTTTTAAGATATTTAGGGAGTCCATCAGTTTATGCTTCTTGTACAATTTTTTTCTGTTGTTTAGCTTTGGTTGGATTACAGATTCGTTGTGCATTCCTGAATTTGCCTTATTTCATGTAAAACTTACGTCATTCGGTTTTTGATAATTCAGTTTTAGGCATCAGTGATATTTCTTATCTACTTGTTACATATAGTTTTTCAAGTAATGACTGTGATTGTGACCAAGTAATGTGCACTTTTTCTTGTAACTGTGGACATTGCTATGCTTTTTTCTTCTCGTGTTTCTAGAATTACTGTTCCTTACAGTTACGTAAACAAAAAACAAAAAAAAATTTTGTGATACTGTTGGTGAATATAATGTGAAAATCTAATTGAAATATGAGTATTTTGGAAATACATAGATGCACAAACATCTTTTAAGATGTGAGTTTAGAGTTTGCTTATTTAAATGAAAATTCAAAAACTGAGGGCTGGCATAATTTTCTGTTTTGTTGGGTTTAATAAACAGATTTCTGTGTTAAAACAATGATTGTGAAACCTTATACACTTTCTGAATGACCTAATATTTAACTTTCAGCAGTTTGCTTTTAAAGCAGGAAACGATATTTTATACCTACATTTAGCACAAAATTGATAACCCAAACTTGTCCTCGGGAATATCCTAAGGTGCCAGGGTCTCCACATTCAGTCTAATCACGTATTCCAAGGAGGAAAGCAAATCAGCAAAACCAAGACATGATATTTCATTTGATTATTTAAATCTGATTTAAGAATTTATCTTTTATTGCTCATTTTTACATGAATAACCTGGTTCTTTTCGTCACTTGAATTTAACGTGGAAGAAACATACCTGCTTTAAGTGATTGTTTTATGCTTCGGGTTTTGTGGCAACAGTGTCTGAGGCTTCGACATGATTGCTGTCTGACAAAGGAACGCTCAGGCCTGAGCTCAGCATATACATAAAAAATCCTTAATGGGGATTGGAGAAGGTAAGTTCCAGGAAGGTGCTCTTGTTTTTGTTAAATATGCACCTTCAATCGTAACTTTCACACCTATCCACCAAGGACTAAAATTCCCCAATGTCCTCGCTTTTCAGGCATTTACCTAAAAGAAAGATGGTGCCAGGACTCCCATCATTTCCCTGGGAGAGCCCAGGGCCCAAACTGAAGCACCAGTGTGTTTTCCTTTTCATTTATGACTTGCACCTGGAAACACCCTGGTCCTTTTATACCCTGTCACAGGAGAAGAGAGGTTACACCCCCCTTTATAAGGCATTTTGGAAAAACTAGCTGCAGGTTCGAATTGTCATTCAAATGAGTGATAGAGAATTATCATAAACACAGAGATCAAATACAGGTTGTCACATCTGCCAGTTAGCTTTCTGTACAACGGAGGCTTCTTGTCACATATGTTATTACTTTATCACACTTAAGAAAACACACCTTGAAATAACCACAGAATACAAACAAGCAGTTCCTGAGTTTTCTTAAATTGTGTCATTTAAATAAGACAGCAAAAAAGGGCATTCAGCTATAATGATAACCACTGTTTACAGATTACTTACACAAGGAAAGGCGTTTTTATTTCCTTCTCACAATAACCCCAGGAGGTCTGATAGCCACAGTTCATTTTACAAAGGTGGCTCTAGAGGTGAGGTAACTTGCCAGGAGCACAGAGTGAGAGCTGAAGCCATCACCGACCCCAAGCACACCTGATGCTGGAGCCCACGCTGGTCCCTGCAGTCGGCTGCCTCCCAGGCCCTAAATAATTACATTTGGCGCGATGCCTCGGAACCAGGTCTTTATACTAAAGTTTAGCGGTTTTATTTGTGTAGATAAATAATAGTCTTTAAAAATGCACCTGACATCAAATAAAATGACTAAACACAGTTTTATCCTGCTTGGAGAGGTTTAATTTCCTTCAAATTATGTTCTCTACAAATATAAAGAGCAACAATAAGAACCACCACTAATGAAAGTCAAATACATAAAGCATGAAAAGAAGGCAGTGACTTTTTAACAATGATGGGTGCCAGTAGTGAATCCGGTATAAAAAGATAAAAGGGATCATCCAGCTGAATCCAGGAAGGTAAATTCAATCACCTGAGATTTTGGTCTTAGACACTATACAGGTGCTATCCTGCTATGGTAATCAATCCTGATACCATGAATACAAAAGTCATTCAAAGATTAATCTTAGCATAACAAAAATACTTTCTAATTTCATATGGCCCAGGTTACGAACTTTAGTTCATAGAAAAACATTCCAAAAATAAAGCAGGTAAACATTACCACATTATCTTATAAAGTATGTTCAGGATGCAGAAATTTGGTAAAGTAAGAAATGGGTGCAAGCTAACCTACAGGAGCTTACTATATTTATTATAACTCATCCCTTCTTGAAAATAAACTTTTTGGAAAGGAGATAAAATGCTATTGGTAGAGTAATCTATCTTTGGCTTGAGGGTCAATCACATTTAACTTTTAATTTTCTGATTACAAAGGAAACTTGGGAAATACAGATAAAGGAGGAAACAATCCCAGCATCCACAGAGAACCATGAATAATAATATATCTTCCAGTTTTTTATCTAAACAGGTATGTGAATATTTTTGTTTTATGTTACTGTATATGGTGTTCCCTCATCTGCCTTTCTAACCTAACAATATACCATGGATATTTTCCACATCATTAGGTATTCTTATTAAGTATTATTTTTAATGGCCGCGTAGCATTACACTGTATAAATGTACCTGTATTAGGTTTTCTATTGCGGCTGTAACAAATTACCACAGACAACATGAATTCACTGCCTTCCAAGAGGCTGGAAGCCTCGAGATGTTGGCAGCATCCCTTGTTGAGTACATTGGGCTCACAGGGATTAAAAAATTAAAAAAAAGATAACCTCTTTATTTAAGGTCAGCTAATTAGCAACCTTAATTCCATTTACAAACAATTATATATTTGATATGTAACAAAACACTGACAGTTCTGATGATGAGGATGTGGACATCTGTGGGGGGGGCATTATTCTGCCTGTTACTGTACCTTAATTTCCTTTAAAAAAAAAAAAAAGTATTTCTCTGTACCCAGCTGTATTTGCCCATTTACCTGCAGTAAAGATCCTAAGTCAGCAGCAGGAACATTTTATAAGAATTTTCTTCTTTATAAAGTATATGGTTCTTTTGGAAATTATTTTAATGGCTTTTTTCTCAAATGTTTCACATTCCAATTAAATGTAAAAGTAAATATGGTAAAAATACAGCTAAATCTTTCAAGGGTAATAAAACAATCGTCTCTGGATCCCTTCGTCCACTTTGATTCTTAGGTGGTTCTGCCCAAGGCCATTTCTGAGGTATGTCTGAGAAGGCTCCGACTCAGTAGGCCAGAATGGGCGGCCGGAGGATCTGAAGCTTAATTAAATTTTGCACACAACCCAACCACATTCATAGAATTCCCACGGGTAATTACCAGTAGTGTTATATTTACTCTGAACAATTAAAACATATTTAACATTAGATGTTATTAGATGATGTGTCTTTTAGAGGGATCTGGCAGTAACATCTACTGAATTTAGGATAATCAATTCAGTTTAAAAATTAAACCTTTTTGCTGTACTTTGTTAGATACTTTATTTACATATTAAAAACATTTCCCCTCATTTACTTTGTTTCTTTTTCCTTTCAAAGGCTATCCACTGAAAGAAGAGCTGATCAAAGATAATTCAAGACCCTTTTTAATGCTATGAGAGGAAAAAAAAAAATACAAAAGCATAGCCCACAGAGAGCAAATGCTATTACTACAAGTGTGGGATGCTCCCCCCCGCGACTGTTTCTATTTCTCAGATTCTTTGGTTATTGGGGAGTGGGTTAGATTGGGCTGTCCATGGGAAATGTTTTTAACGCATTTAAAGCACTTGATTGCAATGAAAGAACAAGTGGCTAGGCGATTCCACAACAGATTTATTCTTAGCACCTTTGCTGGTGGAAGGATTCCAAGGTCTGCTATGAAGTAAACCCCATGGAAGAGCAGCCCTCCCAGCTCATTTTTGTTTTATTAAATTGATTGGGGTGACAATAGTCAATACAATATGAACATACAGGTTTCAGGTGTGGGTTTCTATGTTACAAAATCTGTATATTGCACTGTGTGCCCACCACCCAAACTCATATCTTCTCCCATCACCATATATTAGGACCCCCTTCACCCCCCATCCCCTTCCCTCTGGTGACCACCACACTACTGTTTGTGTCCACGAGTTTCAGTTTTATATCCCACACATGAGTGAAATCATGGTTCTTGCCTTTTTCTGACTTATTTCACTTAGCATAATATTCTCGAGGTCCATCCACGTTGTTACAGATGGCAGTATTTCATCTTTTCTTATGGCTGAGTAGTAGTCCAATGTGTACAAGTACCATTTTTCATTTTCACCGATTTTAACCAATGTATATTTTCTGACCTGCTATGTGCTAGGCATTGGCGCTGGTACAGAAAAAACTATTTCTGCTTCAAGAGTCACATCTAACGGAGGAGAGGGGCAGAAGTGCAGATGGTTACAATACCAAAGGACAGGGCAACTGTGCCACATGTAACGACAGAAACATGCCAGGCAGGTGAGAGGAGGCGCAGACCCTGCCTCCATGGGGTGGGGACGCTAGTTGGTCACAAGGACCAGAGCTTTGGGGAGTACCTGGTAGGACTGTGGAGTGTGTTTGGGAAGAGAGAAGACAGATGTGCCAGGGAAGGGCTTTCAACAACAGGAGACCATAGGAGGGCGGAGGGGCGCGGAGCGGCATGGTGTGCGCAGCACCTGGAAGCAGAGTCTGAGCATGAGGACGGACTTCTCGAGAGGGATGGAGAGTGAGGTCGGCAGGGCCTCAGCTGCCACACTAAGCTGTGTCCTGCAGATGAGGAGACGGGCACACCGGCGAGGGCTCAGTGTGTGTGTACTATTTGCACCACTCTGAGGAAGGAGATGAAATAATGCTCGACTGCAGGACCTCCCTTCCCTGAAGTAAATGAAGCTCCTAAAATTAAAAGCCAAAAGTTACTAAATGAGCAGCATACTAACCAGGAAGGAAGGAATGGCTTTTTCCTATGATCACTGAAAAGTGGAAGCCAGGGAAACCTAGTAAATGTCACACATGAACGTGATTCCTTCCTCACGAAACAGATCCGAGCAAAGACAGGTGAGGGGAAAGGAATGTTGGAAAAAGACCATGATCAGATCCCTCGTTGGGAAGAAGGGAGAATGGGGAGTGAGTGGACCACCCGGGAAAGAATGTCCACAACCTTTCGAGGATACAAGTCCCTCCCTGCACTCACAGTAAGTCTCCAGAAGTAGGACTTGCCATCTGGGGTGTTCTGTGGTAGCAAAGAAAGGCTGCAGAGTTAAGGCAGAAGATGGTGACACTCAGGACCAGATTTCTACAAAAATAGAGATTTCAGTTGGCACCCCCACGCCTTTCCCATCCTGTCCTCTCTCCCACCCTGACTACATCACAGTGGCCAAAACTCATAAGCT